ATTGAAATAAGGCATTCAGTTTTCCAGCCAAGAAAAGAGAGGAGAGTTCGGGTGGTCTCTTGGACAAATCACCCCAAGGGAGAGTTCGGGTGGTCTCTTGGACAAATCACCCATTCAGTTCTGCAATAGGGTCTGCACGCAAGGGAAGACGTAAGGGAAAGCAGTGCCTTCGCACTATGGGCCAACCCGTGACGGGATCCTACGCGCGGGACCATAACATCATTATAATTTCAATGTTATAAATACTACATTTTACATATTATACATATTCAAATATTAAGTTTGAAGAAAAATAACCAAATCACTTAACCGAACCATGAGCTATTTTTTGAAACCAAACTAGTACTGCTGGTTTTTGCAATGCCCCAAACTGAAACTGAACCAGTACCACAGATTAACCAATTGACCAGTTTCGATTTTTTATCAGTTTAGTTCTTCAATTTTTCAGTTTTTCATATTTACAACATATAGTATAAAAAATATATAAATATAATACATTATACATTATAAATAGTTTATTAAATAGTACCTTTCGTTAACCGCATTTTTCGTTTGGTGTTCTTGTTTCAGCTCAGTTCGATTTTTTGGTTTTTCAGTTTTCTATGAGCACTCATACACAAATTGACTCAATGGTCAATACCATGGTCTTTGTAACCATGAATGCTTGAACTCATCTTCAAAATATTTTTTGGGATTTAATTCAAAGCAATTTTGGCTCTAAAGCCAGTTCCACCAAGGCCAATCAAAGCTAGTTCTTTAGGTTGGTTTAGGTAGGGTAAACTCCTAGATTTTGGAATGGGCCTAGGTGGGAATTGGTCCCAAGAATTTGGAACCAAATCCTACCCAATAACAAATTTCGTAGGTTGAATCAATGAACGATAATCCATGCATGGATCCATCAATAATTTACATAGGATCTGTTTCTCTCACTGCTGTGTACAACTAATAACTATGGTAGAAAACAATTTATACATTTTAGAGACTATTTGACACAAGTTATTGTATAAGATAGTTTATCTTTAAAATTTCTTATGCTAAGATGATGTTTTCTTTTTCTTATTTTGTTATAAACCTATTTATTTACAATATCATTTATCAAAATGCAACTATCCTAAATATTGCATGCAAACATATACACAGACAAGTATCCATCCAGAAAGTCTATTTTACTATGATAGAGTTGTCGAATTGCTCATTTAATAAGTGTAATACCCTCTATAAGTTATATCCAAAATTCCAAATAAAAGCTCAACTCAATTGAGCCTTATTCTAACTACATGAGATCGGCTATTTGAATCCTATCTTGTCATCTACTCTGTTTAGTGGCATTTCCTTGGTAGGAATGCAACTTGAGTTGGCCCCAATTAACATTTTACACTGTTTTGGACCAGGTCCATTCGAATTTGGTTCAATCCGAGTCCATCCAAGTTGCACACCTAATACTTGGTTATAAGATACCAAGCATATATTTAATTTTGTTTTTTCAGGAATAAGAGATACATCATACATGATTGTACAATTAGAATCAAATGCAAATTTAGGACCTTAGGCCCATGTACAAGCGCTCTGGTTTGAAATTTGTTTATTTAAACCATAATATCTGTTTGTGGATCCTAAGAAGATCATAGCTAAAGTAGAAATAATCCCAATCCAATGGCTATCCTCGTAACTCATAAGAGGATAAGGTCACGACTACTGTACATCTCTGATCTCTCATCAACGGGAAAATCTATGATGCCGGAGTGAGAACCTTAAACCTACCACATGATATGTTTAAGAGTAAAACTGTAAAAGATAACGGTGGCCATTTCCTTTAGACAAAAGAACCCCACCTATCAATGATCTTTTTTGTTGGCGTCGCCATTCGTGTTGTCTTAGTTTGAAATTCGACATGCCACCAATTCCCTAATCCCTATTACGAGTAACAGTGAATTAGGGAAAGAAGCCATGAAATCGTTATAGACAAAGAAATCCGGCATTAGGTGTTAAAAAGAGAGAGAATTGAATTCAACTCGAATTTGTATAGATTTATGCATTATTGCAAGGAATGAAGTATAATGAGAAATAATAACAATGGGGATATGTGCCCTGACAAAGCCATTTCTGACTTTAAGGGCTGTGTTTGGTTTGAAGGAAAAAGTAAGAAAAGGAAGGCAAAGGCAGGGGAACCTGTACAAGGTTTGTAAAGATTTCCCTACATTTCCCTTCCTTTCCCTACTTTTTCCTTCAAATCAAACATAGCCTAAGTGAACTCTACGACATTGTGGATATAAGAAACAAGGTTATCTTTTTCATTGTGTTTTGAGAAAATGAAAGCTACATTTGAAAATTAGTGAAACAGAAGAAAGTTGTGGAAAGTTATTCCATGAGACTATGTTGCTTCCTAGGGTATACAGATTGAATGAGATAGATAAACCTGAGATACATCAAAAGCAATGTAGTATGAAGTATGAAACCAGCTATGTTAATGGGATTTATATGAACTAGTTCTAGAATTCCAATTCTTGCAAACCTGAAGACATTCAGTCACAGCAACAGTGGGGGATGAATTCCAGTCTTCAGTTAAATGGGGAGTTTGAAAAACTTCAGTAGCTGGGAATAGAATGGATCCATACCACTTCAATTTGATGGCTTCAATGAATCCCCCTGGTCTTGTTTGTGTGGGGGTGGGTGGTGGGTGGATTGGTGCCCCTGTGCATGGTAGCACATGCGGTTACTAGTTACTACTGCTGTAATGCATGGTCCTAAAAGGAGCAAATTTAGCAAATGATAGTCTGGATTTTCTACCCACATAACAACGCAGGCACACGGTTCCCAATGCATGCAGGTAGTGCCCTGTGGGTAGAGTTCTTGTGGGTAGGAGATCCAAAGTCAAAAGGCAGAGGAAAGACCTTCACAGAACTTTCAGCCCAATGGTAGCATCATAGGAGAATTTACCAATTTTCTTGCATTTGTCAGGCTCCTAAGCCATTGGATTACAAGTACATCATCAATTCACTCTTTACAAATGCATGAGTCATGCATTCAGCCTCTCTGCAGAAAATCTTGGAAGTTGAACCAGTGAGTTGACTCGTGTCACACCTTCCAAACCCGACCAGTTCTGTTCATCAATTATAGTTCCACCATCTCCCTCAACCTCGACTTGAATTTTGTTGTTTGGGTTGCCATCTTCTGCTGATCTGACTGTAAAATTCCTCTGTAGAAATGGTTCAGAATTCTGGCCATCATCCAACTCAGTTGCAGTGCAAGACTGCTGACCACAATAACTCACTGCAGATACACATTGCTCTTCTGCCTCAGATTCAGTGTCCATCTTGCCATCCAGAAACAAGCACACCACTGCGCAATCGTCCATTTTTGAAGTTGGGTACTTGAGTTTCCATTCTCGAGAAGCAGAGTCAACAAGGATCCGTGCAGCTGATGATCTGGTTGGGGCTGAGGACACAATTTCAACAACCTCTTCATTGCTCAAGACATCCCAAACCTGCAATATGAAGATCCTTGAGATTACTTGGAAACCCCTGCCATAAGGAAATTCCAGTTCTTATGGGAAACAGTTGTATATTTCTCTACCCCTGGCACTAAAGCGTACTACCTTTAAAGGAAGAAACAACTAAATAGTTTTACCTCTGTTTTGACAAAAATAAACAAATCAAAGTTCATTTTGGCAATGTGAAAGATAATCACATCCGATAAATTAGGTCAGCAGTTTGAAGTAATAACTTTAGCAGAGGCATTGTGGCAACAAAGCAAGGACTTGTCTGTGTAATTTTATGTGTAAGAATCAACATGACTTGGTCCAAGATAACATAAACACCTGTTATGTTTAGTTCTTGTTCACTATTTCTTATAAAATAATGAGACCCAATAGGTGCTACAGAAGTTGGTGGGATTTGAGCAAAAAACAAATATATGTTGAGTTCCACCTAGATCTGGGGAATACCTCTCTGCTGCTACTCTTACGTAACAAGATAGGATTTCAGATTCAGACGATCAGATACCATTGACAGCCCTTGATAATATAGTCGATGGCATACATCCTATGAAATAACATGAGCCCAACTGTAGTTTAAAGAGATTCTTAAACAACAAGGATGGGACACAAAACAAAAGCAGTTTCACCGCCCCATTGGCTAAAGCCTAGTGCAAGAAATAATGGCATTAGCCCTGATGATGGTATTTTCCATAATTCCATGCAACTTCAGAGCCAGCTGTTAGGTTTCAAAACTAATAATGACGTGCAACTTTACTGTCTTCGTAATAATTCCAAATACAATTGGCATCAAGCTGTTATCATATTACCATATCATAGGGGCTAGGGAGCTCCTCTAATTTCACATGCTCCTGCTAGGGTAGATTTTAAGCGAAGAATTGATCCAATCAGAACAATGCAACCATCAGAAAAAAAAAAAACTATTATTTTTATTTCCTGGGCAGTTTGCTAAGAATTTTTTTTTTTTTTATGAATAACAGTTTGCCAAGATTTTCTGACAAAATACTACTACTGGATATTGGAATGCTAATAATAACAACAACAAAAAAGAGAAAAGGTTACCTAATTGGGTCATGTAGGAAACCTCACTACATGACATCTTTGCCATGTCAAGAAATCCCATGGCCAATCCAGTCCATTCTCATCAGATGGGGACCATATAGATTGGCTATCATTCAATTAATAACAGACTTTCTAGCTTCAACTTTCTAACCTAAAAAGTTGCTTGTGTAGAAGGGATTATATAGAACACAATACAAAGTCATTATGGCCAAATTTTTCAAGGAATTTTAGGATGGAGAGAGGAGCACATGAAGTTTCTTTGTGCCCAAATTCAATTGAGACGTTGAAGACTTCTGTGTTATTTACACTCCTTCACCAAACAAGTTGACAAGAGATCTATTCCCGTGATAATAATTCAATAGCATTTGGAGCTAAAGCTGGTTTTGAACAAGAATGTAAGGATATAACTACTGTTTATCTCTGTTTATTTTTTTAGCTTCTCCCTCTCCATTGCAGGATATGCTGCAAATGCATAGTATTACATTTGCACATGAAAACATAGCTTCTAGCCATAGATTAATACAATGGCAATGCCAATTATCTAAAGAATGGTAAATCCAACAAGGACATGAAACAAAAGGTTCCTAACCAATCATCAGACTAGTAAAGAAATTGTAAGAACACTCAAATTGCATTACTTTGTGAAACACATGCAAATGCTCTTTAACACTTTATGTGGAGCAGACATGTTTAGAAGAAATCTAAAATAGGAGAAAACCACAGGAATGCACAGGATACTCTATTTCTAGAAACTTCGATATGCCAAAGGAATTTTCTTCCTTTCATGATGTATTCTTTCCTTTCTTAAGGGTTCTTCTTGGGACCAACTAGATAGTTCGTGAATTTAAATACACCAAAAAAATCCTTTAATTTGCTTCACTGCTACTGACACTGTGCCCTAGTGGCTAGTACTAAAATACAACTGCAGAGATATGAGCTCCAAGACCGACAATATGCAGCCTTTTAGGCACCATATCTAAAAATCTTTTCCAAATACAGAATCTGTAATTTCCGAGTTAAAGGAGCCATTAACTGGCATGCATCAAAACCCAGAATATTTATAGCAGTGGCATATGTAATGCTTCAAATTAAGCCCTTAAGGAAAAAGAGGGGAAACCAAATCTCACATGACTCATTACAACTGTGTTGAGCTCTTGATAGTTTCACTTCTAATAACCTTAAGTACCAATATAATTCAGCATTTGGCCATAATCATCCAACTTCAGTTTTGGTAGGGCAGGATTTTCCTCTGAATTCCCATTTATTCCGTGAGTATTAAACCATGTGTGGGAATTACCAGATCACATTAAGCATTTAGTGTCTCATACTGTCACACATGACAGAAATTAGGAAGGGAGAAAGTGATTTCCAGCTCTCTGCTTTGTTTCTTTAGCAGTTTACCTTATGTCAGTGTACACCTCATGATCTCCACCTCCCCTGGTGTCTCTGTGTTTCCAATTTTCTTTATATTCTTCCAGTGTGCACGTGAAAAGATTTAAAAACTAGGTTTAACAAGCCCAGATAGGATGAAATTGCTGATGACCTACCCAAAATATTTAAAGTAAGCTTAGAAAGTAATGGTGGATGACAGATTAGCATCAATTTAGTTGACACATATTCTGCTTTTTCATTTCTAAGTTAATTTAAGTTGTTTTTTTATGAGCATTCTAATAAAATTTAAGAAAAGAATGGCTGTTTTTTTTTTATGGAAGTGAATCTTTTACAAAATAGAAACACAAAATTAAATGCATGCTGTACTCAAGACAAACACTTACACCATCGGAGGCAAGAACAATGAATTGGTCCCTCTCTGTGAGTATCCTGTGAGAGAATTCTGGTATGGAGATAACTCCATAATCCTTCAAACAGAAATCCCCAAATGCCCTAGCCATTGCTAACCCGGGGGCATCATCGAATGGCAACCAAACTCTAGGAACTTCAGGCTCATCTTGCAATGCAAAGACCCTTCCTTTACACCGTTTAATCCTTTCTTCTTCCCCTACAAGAACAGATCAAATAAAGCAGGTTTAAGTTTCAAATAGCATGCATATCAACAAACAAATCCATTAATAATAAAACATACTTGGCAAATCAGGCTTTAAATCAACAGTCAACTGCACTGCAACCATAGAATCACTGCTGTCCTTGGACCCCATGATAGCACGGGAGTCGCCAATGTACCCCATGAAAAGATTCAACCCCTTCAAACCAGCAAGTAGAAGTAAGAAGAGAACATAAGAAAAAGTAAGAAAAGAAATTAAAATAAAAATAGAGATTGTATTTTTTAAGCAGACCTGTTTAACAATAGTGACAGCAGTACTACCACTACAAAAGCAGTCCAGGGTAGGATGGGACCTCAGCTCCTTGTCCATGGCTTTATATGACTTGAGGAAAGCTTCTCTCCACAAAGATCCCAGGTTATCCTCAGTTGAGCCATCCTTCTCAGAATCTCCTTCAAGTTTTGTTTTTCTACCAAAACAATTATTATTCAGGCCATTTTGCCTTGACTCTTGAGATTGCAGGAAAGATAGTAACTTCAGTGGCAAGTCGTCCCTCACTTTGCGGGCAACAAGATGACCATGTGGACCATGACCATCAAAGACCCCACAAAATATTGCATCTTCTGACATGAAATCCTGCATACAACACACAGGTAATGCTTACAGTTCTAGAAACAAATTAGACTACATGACTTGGGGAAGATATGGAACAATCAAACCTACTTCCCAAACAACCATGGCATCCTGATTTATGCCCTTGCGCCCTTGTTGAGTGAAAATACAGGAAGTTCTGCTGTTCCCATTTGCAAAAATCCGGTTGGGAATAGAATGTAAATGATGCATGGCAGTGACATGCTCAGCCGATGATCTCTTCATTCTATTGCTCCGCCGTGATCTGAACCCCAAACAAGAGGAAGAAATTGTCTCTTCATTGTTACTGCTACCACTTCTGCTGAAACCACTACTTACACAGCACCCCATCTGCTTTGCTCAGCTACAAAGCAATGGCATCCGAAAGAAACAGAGAGGTTGAGATTCCTACTTTTCCAGATACATATCTCACTCAAAATCCCAGAATAGTTGCATTAGTCAACCACCCAATAGACCATTCCTATTGTTAAAGATTCCCCCACATGGAGTTGCAATGTAGACACTCGAAATCTCAATGTAGGGGCGAACAAACACTTCAACTAGGGTTTGATTATTGTAGTCAAATGTGGATCCACTGCAGGAAACGTGAACTTATGGGAGAACCAGCTGAGCAAAACGAGATTGAATTAATTAATTGAATTATTTATTCCACAACTGCATACAAGGTAAAACAATGCATTTACACCAAATAATAAAATTTGAATTCTCTAGATAATAAAAGAAAAAAAGAAAAGATCCTCAGCCAAAGGAACAGAATATACAAAAAAAAACGGTATCCCGTTTCGTTTGTCGTTCATCATGAATCACAAGATCATGGTCGGAAAAAAATGTCAAAGAGATGCTCAAAAATAAAAAATTGAACCCATTAAAGACAGACAAATAGGGAAATCCGTAATAGATAACTTCCAAGGACATAACAGAAAACGAGAAACGCTGGTTCTTCGACAAGTTAAACGATACTGATGAAAGCTTTTTCCATGGATAAAATGAAAACCTCCAAGTACAAAACACGAAAACAGTAGAAGTGGACAAGCCCATCTCCAACTTATTCAAGAAAGATAGCAAAAGAAACGCCACAAAAGTTTCGAATAATGCAGCAAAACCGACAAGTATTCAGTACATTGTCGAAGAAAACCAAATGGAGACAAAGAAAGCTTCTAAACCGTGAAGAAATTTGTTCTCGCAACCAAGAAACAAGAAAAAGGAAATTTGCTTTTCAAATCCACAGAATGTAGCTAAATAACAATACAAATATATACTGATTAAAAAATAATACAGAAATACTGAGAAAAGCAGAAAAGAATTACAAACACACACAACAGGAGCAAGAATCGCCAGAGAGTCGACCAAAACCAAGGCCTCCATACTCTACTTAAAATCATAAATGGAGATGGGAAGTAGAGAAGGTGAGAAGAAGAGTCTAAAAGAAAAAGAAAAATGGAAGGAACTAAGAAAGCTATGATATTATTAAATCAAAATGACTGAAAAACAGCAACAACGTAAACAAGAAAAGTAGAATAAGGAAGAGGACGCGGACGTCTCACGAAAAATCAACAAGAAAAGGGCAAAGGCAAAGGCAAGTAGCTGTGGAAATTTTAATTTTCTGTTTTTCAGGACAAACCAAAAGAGAGTGGAGAGAAAAGCAACAAATAAAGTAGAAAAAAAAAAAAGAAAAAAGACGAAAGCAAGCCATGGTTCTGCCGATCTATGTGCACAGAACGGAACAAAGAGAAGGATTTTAAAAATTAACATGTAGTTTATTGGACAACAAAAGGTAAAAGAAATTTAAAAAAAAAAAAAAAAAACAGCAATAAATGACTAAAGATGAAGAAAGGGAATCCGAACCAGTTGCTTTCCTAGATCTTCATTTTATTACAGATAAAACCAGACCAGTATGATAGACTTACCAATAAGGCCTTTTTTTATTATTTTGCATCACACTGAAAAGTTGAAATAAAAAGATCATACTTTGGTGATAGAAAACAATATCCGGATCTTCTGTGCAAGATTTGCTTTTTAATTACAACTTTTATGATCTTTAGTAGGGAACATATACTCGTAAGACAAGAACACAAACTGAGGAAACCATATTAAGCAGTAAAAGTGAGGTGAGGATGCTCATCCTCAGAAAAAAAAAATGGAGAGAGAGAGAGAGAACACATTATACATGGTTGACATCTGTGACAGAGCCAATTAAAGGTCGCAGACTCTGTCTGAGATCGTTGAATGGAGATCGAGAAATGTGAATAGGATGATGACATGCAGTGAGTGGAAAGAAGAGAGATGGTGATCGTGGTTGCAGTTCGTGAGCTATTCCATGACGGAGGTACCCACCTGCTCTGTCCTGAATCCTGATTCCCGAAAGCAAGAGAGAGAAAGATTATTGAGTGGTGGCGGTGGTGCAGGGGAGGTGCATTTAATGAATTGCAAGGCAAGCCAGAGAGAAAAAGGATTCAGAGAGAGAGAGAGAGGTAATAGTTAATAGAGAGTGGTTATTGTACTCCAGTAGTTTTGCAGAGAGCTGTAACTCCTGTTATGATTACCAGACTAGCAATTGATTGCTGTTGCTGGATTAATTTGTGTGAATCAAAAGGATGAGAAGCAAAAAAAAAATTAAAAAATTGCTTTATCAGGCGGGCTATTGTTGTTTGGCTCCCCGTACTCGCCCTGTTTAAAATTTAGGAGGCGTTTAGTTATTACCTTGATTCCGATTAATGTAATTTTTAAGAGGTAAGACCTGGTTACTTGGTTAGTGGTTACACTTACATCTCCCCCCTCCCCCCCCAAAAAAAATATCGTGTAAAGTAAAACTAAAACCTGGTTACTACTTGCTAGTACATGTATTAAAAAATAGTGCAATAATTTCCGTTCTTTTAAATTATTATTTTAATCATCAAATGTTGATTACTGTAATTCCGGAGTTGATTTGCATTCTTCATAAGTTTTTTTTCTTCTCAATGAAAATAAATACTTGATTTCTCAAGGGCATTATGATTCTGATAAGGAATGCCAAACACGACCTTACTCATTAGAGATCGATTGCAAAGCTGAACAGCCCTCCAATAGCGCCACGTGGCATATGTATCTGTGTGGCACTGGTAGAAAAGGTTACCACATTCATGGAAACTATGCCATGTGGGTGTGCAGTTCCATTGATTCCATCTCTAGTTGCTTCTCCTTCTAAATGGCTTGAAGCAATTACCATCCATATCAGCATTGTTTTGCCCCTCAATTATGGTTTAATATTCATTTTTTTAATTGATATTTCAATTCTGTTCTTAAAAGTTAAAACTATAATTTATTATTTCCTTAATATTTATAACAATAATAATAATTAACATGTTAATTTTATCTTAATATGTGACCCAATAACTAAAATGGGTTTTACTAAAGTTTGTACAGACTTTTTTACCTTTTCCTTGAAACCAAACACACTCTACATGTTTTTGATGACAATACAAGATAAGATTAAAAGCTCATGAACACTTGCTTCCATGACTGACAATCCAACTTTGTATACATCAAGGCATCAACGACGTGAAGGTTCCTTCCTCAGAAGGTGTCAAGTGTTTCACTCTACGTGGTTGGTTGCATATTAATTCCTAAAGTTTCAGTCTGCGTGGTTGGTTGTGATTTCTGCTTTGCCCAGAAGACCCACTCCCGAGTGAATAAATAGAAAATGCAACCAACAAAACAAACAAGAAAATTTTCGTGTTCCATTCCATGACTGAATCATTTCTTTCCAGGGGCAACCGTTTGCTTGCGATGGAATTAAAAAAAGACGGGTTGGAAGTTAAAGTTAGATTAGGACTGTAAATAGATCGAATCGGATCGTGGCAAATTGGATTGGGATATATTTAAATTCGATCCAGGAATTTTCCGGTTTAATTTGATTTATTAAGATTAAGGGTGGTATTCGAATCTGACTCTTATCGGATCAAATTTAAATTCAAGTAAGATCCGATTCGATGTATTTAGATGGGGCTGAAATTAGTAGTTTTAGAAAAAAATGATCGATCCTTGGTGGTTCAGTCTGTCCACCATCCACGTTAATCTCTATAATCTCACACCAGTAATCAGGATCCAGCCCAAGCTTCATAGCTTTTCCATTTGGCAAAAGCTGTGTGATGGACCACACTCCACAGCACAAGAAAAGCTAGTGGCATTTAAACAAACAGTAAAGTGATGAATAGCCATCTCCGGTGCCCATGGCCCCATCCTCGTCGTCTCCTTCAATCAATGCTGATTGCGAGCTACACATAGTCATTTATTTATTTATTATACAACTACGCCTTTCATAACAAATCACGTTCATCCTCAACCAAATTTATACTTTATTTTTTAATAAATAAATAAAAAGTTGGCTACTTTTTAGCCTATCAACTGTGTCTAGTGTTGACTCAATGACGTCTCGCGTTATTTATATATTTAGCATATAATATAATATATGATAAATATGATAAAGTAATAGAACAGAAAAAAATTTCACGGGCCGGGCTTGAATCAAGGCTTTACTGTTTATTAATTTCAAATAATCAGGTTGGAGCCCGAGCCCAGTCCAATTGGATTTATTTTTTAGCTCAAGCCCAGCCCAATTTTAAAGCCTACGGTACAGCTGTGTTTGCTTTGAAAGAAAAAGGTAGGAAAAACAAGGGAACCAGACTTTCCTACCTTTTCCTTGAAATCAAACACAAGGTTAGTTCTATTTTATAGTTCCATATTTTTTAACATTTTTCCATCCAATCACATTCTTTTATATATTAAGAAATATTACTGCCCAAGATACAATTATACATCTAAGTTGAAAGAAAAACACATACAAAATACAATAGGCAAAATAGTAGTACAAGTTATTACCTAATAAATACCTATTACTGATATATTTTATTATTTATAATATTATCAGGGTCCCCGAGCTCAGGTTTGGGCTAGGCTTATGTAACAAGTTCAAACCTGTGGGCTTCAAAAAGGGTCAGACTGGGCAAACCCTTTCGTTATGCGGACCCGTAAGCAGGTCTAATCATCATCATCCATGTATGTCTTATCCCAACTATATGATAAATATTACAAAATAATAATATGTGAAAAAATTATATATATATATATATATATGTATATATATATATATACTTATGAACATTTATGAGAAGATAGAATGTACCTATTTGTCATATCATTATCAAAATCCAAAAGTTATTAGACTTATATAACAGAATAGGGTTTCCATTATGATCCAAAAAGGGCATGAATTAAAAAAAAAAAAGGAAAAAATCTACTTTATTGAACTTCGGGGGTAGTGTCAAGTTATTATTGAACTTTCAAATATGTCACTACAGTACTTAAAAGAAAATACTGTTCATTGTTTTCTATCTTAAGACTGAACCAGTTGAGGTGTTTGAAATTCTAGACTAATGAAGTCATTGTCTTCCACCTTTATATCTGAAACACATTCTTGTTTAGTTATTTCTTTGCTTTCAGCTATTGTTTCTCCGTATTATATTTCATTTTTTTTTTTCAAAGATAACCAATTGAGTCTCAAGATAGAAGGTAATGAGCAATGTCTTCTTTTGAGATAGTTTTAACATTTTCAACAAATAATTGACAATAGATTAACCGTAGAGACCAATTTAACATTTTTTAAAAGTATAAATACTGCAGTAAAATTTAAAAAAAAAAAAAACAATAGCCATCAGTATCATAAAAATAATAAAACGATGAGGTGATATTTATCAAAATTAACGGAAAACTTTGGATCGATCAAAACTCTTATATCATATCTTTAGGCAGCATAGCTTTTTCGAGAATTCAGTCAGACTTTGGGCTTCCCCATTAATCATGAGTGTTGACCAGTTTGAATGTTTGAATGAAGTCAGTGAATCACCTGATGAGTGAAGACCTAATGTCCCATTTTGGAATATTTTCGGGTAATGAAGTTGGACATTAGACATCATAATTAATTACAAATGTAATGACAGTAATGTAGGATTGAGAAATATGCAAAGATTGAAGTCACTTTCACATAAACAAAACCCGTTGAGTTTGGGGTTTGTTGGTTATGGGTTGTATGGCAGGCTCATGAACTCAACTTGAAAGAATTCAGCTCAGTTCGCCTCACTTGTAGTAGACTTCGGCTTTGAATCTAAGCCCAAGATTCAAAATGAAGATAAAAGAAAAGATCAAAAGTCAAACGGTCCACATCTGACATCCCACATTCACTCCGTAAATGCAATTAAGCTTTTGACTTTAGTTTTCATTTTTCGAATTTCCCGCCAATTTTTTGAATTTTTTACTGCATACGGCTGAGGAAAGCTTTATTTATTATTAACATTGTAAGATGGGAGAGATGAGTACTATCAGAAAGGGAAAAACAGATGAATCAAGTTTTTCACTCAATGTAAAATATAAGATATTTATGGCGATGAAGAAAGGAAGAGAAAAGAGGATGCGTTATTGTGAAAATCGGATTCAGTCAGTGCAAGGCCCTAACAGTTTTTATATTCTTGCATTGGGAATATTTTTCCATCAAATAAAGCATAGAAATACAGAAATATCTCTAATGCAATACAGAAATACAGAAATATCCCTAATGCAAAGTTGTAAAGACTGTTTGCCCTGATCGAAGCATATCTGTAATTCTTTTGATTTTTAAAAAAGAGAAAAAAGTGGAAGCATTTTCAAGAATTGAAAAGTCAAAGAGAGATAAAAGAAGGTGGTAAAATATTATTGTCATGTCACATGTGGTAGAGAATCATGATTTTGAAAACTGGATTAGGTTAGACAGCTTTAGGGTCCAAAACCAGACCCAGACCCATGGTTGGTTTTCAGATCAACCTGTCCAAACCATTTGGTTTGGTCTGGTTTTTAAAACCATGTATAAAAGAGATAAAATATGAAAATGGAGAGAGATGGCTAATCTCACTCCCATGCATTTTAAATTTTGAAATGTATACATTAATAGGATAGGGGTGCTCTCTCCGAAATGGAATTAACTCATGCGAGTAGATTCTCACGTGAGAGCAACCCATTTCCTATTATATCTAATTATCTAAATACCTATTGTATCTAATTATACAAATATTGTTAGATAATTAGATATATATATATATATATATATATATATATATATAATTATCTAATTGTATAAATATATAATAGTTATTATAAATATTGTTAATAATTAGATATCGAATCATTCGAGCATGTGACTCATACGACCCAAAAATGGAACCGTTCTAGCCACCGGTTTTTGGGTTGATGGTCCGACTGTCCGATTCGAACAAACGATCCATTCTGACAACAAAAATTAAAAATAAAAAATAAAAAAAATGACCAAAACCATTAAACGGGTCAACGGTTCGACCACTCAGGTCAATGGGTCATTCACCGATTCAATGGTTTTTTCAAGGGACCAAGATTGGGATAGAATGGAACTAGTTGCCTAGACGGTTCCCAATTAAAATAATAAAAAATGGACAAACCGTTCTGACAACAAAAATTACAAGCAAAAATTTGAGTGTGTG